GTGTGTGTGTGTGTGTGTGTAATAAATATATTATATGTGTGTGTGTGTGTGTGGGTGGGTGGGTGTGGGGGTGTGTGTGTTCGTTCGATTATTTGTTGTATGTTATACACGTTTTTGTCTCCAGTTGTTTAAACTAGTCGGATTCTAGTGATTCTTATTTTGATCTGATTTTCATATCAATTGAATTAGGTTACCACATCGTTTATGCTGTCATGCGATTGTTTATTTCCTGATAATTTCTTTGTAGTTCCAAGCACCTGTCCTTTTGGCTACTACGGTCCATCTTGTACATCAATTTGTAACTGTATCGATAATGTTGAGTGCGACAGTAACACTGGTTTATGTATGTCCTGGTAAGTGTGAAAAGGGGATAATATCTAAGTAAAGATATGCTATAACTGAACAGATCATCAGTATTTTCTGAATCGGACTGTTCTAATGCATTGAGAACGTTACCAAGAAAAACCATTACAGTATTCTGATGTTAAAAAATCTACTATTATTTCACAAAATTATTTTTATATATTTCAATAAGTTATGTAGTCATGTTTATTTAAAATATTTTCATTAATTGGATCCGGTCTTACACTATTTTGCATCATGTCATCATTTTTACATAACCGCCATCATTATCACCACCAACAGTAGTAGAAGTAATAATTGTAGTTTTTGTTTTTCTATAGGTTCATCAATTCCTGAATATATAATAGCAGTAGTGATTGTTCTTTCTATCACTATCTTCCTTCTTATTTTCTTGGTCTTCGGCCTGTACTATCGGTATTGTATCTACAGTAGTTACATTAATTACTTTATTGTTTCACTAAAAGCAACGAATTACTAAATATCAAAATCACAATATCACCAAATCACTAAATGAATACACCATTAAATCACTAACCAATAAATGAATAGAATAAATCAACAAATCAGGCTAATCAATAAATCAATCAGTTAAACTGCCGACAGACCAATCGATCGATCGATCGATCGACTAATCAATCATTATTCATTCATTTCGTTTATACATTTATTTATTCATATTTGTGCATTACCAATCCATACATTAATATATTATCATTTATACATTCTAGCAACCTGACATAATAATCTAAATCATTAGTGTTACACATCTGTAAATTTCTAGACGTTGATTCTACGGTGATTCTAAATCTCCATAGAGTTTTCTTAAAAGATTTCTTTGGTGCTCTTCAACGTGACCTTTTTAATTTACGTTTCATAATTTAGTTGAGTTTGATTTTTTTTTCCCTGTACTATTCCAGATACCATTATTCCCAAGAAAATAATCACATCGGGGCGTATTATATCCGAGATGACAACCAAGGCACATTGACCCGGCTGTCTGAAGAATCCAATGAGCTTTGTGATGATGCTAAGAACGTGATCCCTCCCGCGTTGAGAAACATTACTATAGACGATCCCGAACATGATCCATATTATATAACAGTAGAAGATGTACGAGTTGCCGAGCACACAAATGAACCCTATGAAATTCCAATGAATGTAAAGTCTCATATCATGAAGAATACCGACTCAGCCAGAGTGACTAATCCATTATATACCAATATTTAGACATTATCCACAACTCATTTTCACCCGGGCTCATACGAACAACACAATCGTGGGTTTTTTTTTTTTTATAACCATTCAAATAAGCAAACCGAGTGCCAGGTTTATGTGTGTAATTGAACATACCATAGGTCCATGAACATACAATACAGCTTATAATTTTTATAGCTAAAGTATAGGTCTATATTAAAATACAGTGCTGTGCTGGGAATATAGAGGTCTAATTCAGTGGATAGCCAGAAATGTATTCCGAACGGTAAAGGTTGGTTTCCAAATAGGCAGTCCATTATAATAGACAGCGAAAAAGTTATTGTTTATGTTCTGTTTTTTCTTATCTCACGTTTCCCCGTGCTGTCTAATTTATGTTTTGAGTGTATCATTTTTTTTTTTTTTTTGGTTGATGATGTTAATAAAGTTGATTGATTGTAGCGTTATATCTAACAAAACAATGGACCTTTGTGGTATCTGTCAGGCTTAACAACTGACTAATATGAACCAGTCTGCTTTTCATGCTGTCGTTTTGTGGTAATCTTAGCAACATTACCTAGGGGTTTAGGGCTTAGTGGAACGATCCATTAACTGCCGTAGTAGAGGTCTATTAAATTCATATAACAAAAGTTATTAGTGAGAATTTTGTTTTGATTGCAATTGAGCATGAACCGATAGGCCTATTACGTCTAGAAGTAGAGACAGGCACTTTAGTATAATAATAATAATGAATCAAATAATATTAAAATTAAAGTAAAAACTATATTCATAATAATAATACTACTACTACTAATAATTAATTAATTAACTAATTAATTGATACTTTGTATTTATGCCGTAGTGGAGGTCTATTAAATTTATGTAACAAAATTACTTAGGTAGAATTTTGTTTTGATTGCAATTAAGCATGAACCAATATTAAGTCTAAAAATAGAGACAAGCACTTTAGTATAATAATAATGAATCAAATTATATTAAAATAAAAGTAAACAGTATATTCGTTACGGTACTAATAATAATAATAATAATAATAATAATAATAATAATAATAATAATAATAATAATATTAATAATAATTATAATTATAATAATAATAATATTAATAGTAATAATTATAAATTAATTAATCCAGAACTCTGGATGTATGTAGGCCTATCCATATTATTAGTTCTAGAACTGTATCAGCTGGTTGTACAAAGATGACGTCACTTGCCAAGAATGCCAAATATGGGAAAAAATTGTGGGCGGGGCGTAGCTAATATACAAAATCACGATTTATTAATATTTGCGGTAAAGGTAAAAGAATAAAAACACCCAGACTCGATTCTATACATATTTCTTTATTCATTTTAACATACATAGAAGCATATATCTTAGAAACTCTTTAATTATCCAAAACCTATGCCTAACTAAAAAATAAAGAATGTTCACAGTAGCGATTTTTTTTTTCGTACGAAACATTTGCATGAAACTTCACTCGGGCCGTCTCGATTGACTCGATTTGAAAATCTTATAATGCAGAATTCAGGAGGCCATCAACAAAAAAAAAAAAAAAACGTCTACAGAACCTATGGGATGATGCCGCTGTCTGATTTTTTTTAAATACATGATGTTTACCATGATAATAACTAATTTGTCGTTTAAGATGACAATGTAATATTTAATTGAGCTGCACGAGTAGTAAAAAATATTATTTGAGTTACATACTGTGAACATTTTTATTTTTTAGTTAGACCTTGATTTTTCATAATTAAGTATTAGGCCCAGAGGACTACTAAAAAGTATACATAAATAATCATTTGAGTTCTGGATAAGTCGTGTACTAAGAAGATATGATCACTAATACTACTCATAACAGTTTTAGAAGGCCACTTTCAGGGGAAAGCACCAAATGAAACAGGGTGACAGTATCTAAATTAAAAGAAAAGCTGAAAATAGACAGCTCTAAAATACTGTATGCCATCTAAGGACCTGCCAAAATGAAAGAGCACCAATGAATGAATGAGGCCTTGTTACTACTTTTTATAGGCCTAGTAATTAGTATTTTACTTGTACTACTGTAGGTTCTTGACTATAAAGCTTAAGCCACATCTTAGACACGATTACGACGATACTGATGCGCGTAGTTTTGAAGAATACCAACTACGCGATGATACGTAGTAGTGTCGTGCGTGTTGCTTTAGGTCAAGTTAATGCCAAAATGATTTATTATTATTATTATTATTATTATTATTATTATTATTATTCTTATTATTATTATTATTATTATTATTATTATTATTATTATTATTATTATTATTATTATTATTATTAAATATTAAATACATTACGGCTTAGGCCAAGTTCATTAATTAATGCCGGAAGTATATATTTAATTTATAATTGTTTGAAAATATTTTTCTTACGCATAGTCTCATTTTTAATTTCATGCTTCAATTTTTTTCAAAAATTCCATCAATGTCTATTGAAAAAAAAATATCAACATTCAAATACTTTGAGATCTTTCGTCAGGGAACATTGTGACCAAGTTTGTGATTAAAACTATGGGCTTATAGACAAATAAATTTTAAAAATAGTTTTTCGTTTATTGTGACCTTGACCTTTGATCCTGACCCTTAAAAAAATAATCAGCTCTAGTTCTGATAAAAACTATGGGCTGTAGGCTGTTCACAACAAATATGCCAACAGACAGACAAATAAATAAATAAATGAACAGGGGCAAAAACTTAATCTCGAGTCGAATCAATCCGAAACGACCCGAGTGGAGTTTCATGCAAATGTTTCGTACGGAAAAAAAATCGCGGGCTGCTACGATACGAGTGGAGATTCATGCAAATGTTTCGTAAAAAGTTGACATTACGTAACTTTTTGGAAAAATTAGCTCTGCTATGTCAACTTTAAGTTCTATGTAGGTAGGCCCGGATGTTTCATTTCACTAAATTTGACAATTGTAGGCCTAGGTAGTAGAGCTACTGATTTTAATGTGTTACTAATAAGTAGGTCTATTATTAGTATTACAGTTGATGAAAATTTGTTTTGACACCACTTTATTTTGGGTCTGTTTTTTTTTTCATCGCAGCTAATGGATGAGAGCTGCCACCGCGCCTCGTCTGGGAGAAAAATATCTAGGCCTATGTAATTTCTATAGTTTGTGAGAATCTAAAATCGATTTAATAAGCCTTTCAAATCCATAAATTGTCAAAGCTTCAGGGGATACATCCAGGAGTGGCGCCCCCACCCCCGCCTTCCTCTTCGTCGGGAAGAGAAACCACAATTCGTCGGGGAGCAAAACAATTTCTGTATATTATTAGTAGACTCTAAAATCGATTTATTAGCCTTTGAAAACCACTGTACAGTGTATTGTCAAATGTTTCGGGGGTTGATTATTTTGAGCGACGCCCAACCTCGCCTACTTTGCTCTCGCCGGGGACCTTGGACGCCCTCGGGCAAATCGTGGTGCCACCCCTGGATTCGCCCCTGGGCCTCGCGGCCGTCCTATGGCAAGGCAACGTAACTACTGTATATTTGTTAAGTTACGTTGTTATTATGCCTTGGGTCAGTGGTTCTCGTCATCCATTGCAAACCCCAACTCGGTTGGATTGGAATCTTGGCGTACGTTAATAGGCTTGCATTTTTACATTTTCTAATCCGATGATGGATGTAATGAGAAAGTAGATCTACCTACCAACTCACCCAAGCCCTACAATTGTTAAAGGCTGAGGCGCAAACAATGTGTATGGCATCCGGAAATGACGCTCTAAAACTATATATAATAATAAAAACAAGAAGTTATATTTTCTATTACTAAATTTATTTTAAAAAAAAATAAATAAATAAAAACTATATTCGAAGACTAAAAGGGTAATGACCATTTAGTCTTCGAAAATAATCCTGACAATCGAATGGAAAAAAAAAACCATCGTAAGAAGTGCTTCTTATTTTATTACCCTCTACCCTAATGGTAATCGAAATCTTTGTAACTACTTCAAGAGGGGCCTATTTGATCTCAGCAAACACAAATGGTGGCATGTACAATTAAATTAAGTGAACACAGTACGGTAATAAAAAATACTCTGTTTAAACCTAAATATTATTGAGCTGCCTGCTGGCCGTTTTTTCTTGAAAAAATTAAGTTGGAAATTATTATTTAATTATTATTTTTAGCCCTATTTGTGAACAGGCCCAAAGAACACTTGGCCCACTCCCACGCCACTGCGTCTTGTTGGCTCGCACTTTTGAAGGAGCACCCAATGTTGGTATCATTGGTAATAAGTGGCCACAACGTCTGTAATTTTAGTTTTTGTAAGCCACGACTCATACTCGAACCTATGGCAGAAACATAGTGTGTACAGCCGCAATGGTCAGCGTGTGGTTCAAACACCCGAAACTATACAGAACCTGAATGGAAAATGCATTATAGCTCCAAGGCATAGATTACCGTTTCATTTTGATGTTGGACCTGGGCATAAATAGCAGGCAAGTCTCCTCTCTACATATGTACAAAATTCCTGCTAGAGCTCAGCGACAGTTGTCTCTCGCACCTCCTAATATGTTAAGGGTACAGACTACTCGAGTAACAAAGTCAAGAAAGCAATATGAGTCAGAACGTATAGTCGTGTTATTCGTCAATTACCAACTAAAGACTGATTGAATATACAATAGTAGGGAAGCAAAATGCAAAAGTTACCTTTTCTACATTAGCCATATGTGTTGAATATATTGGGTTATACAAGAACTTGTGAAAAGCGGTCGTAAGAGTGGAAGAATGTCACTCAACGTCAATTGGTTTAACCCACAAAGAGCAAACATATGGATATAAAGAAACTAATGTTTACTAAATAAATTATATGGTGAGCCATACAAAGTCTATATAAAAATCAGCAAGGATCCACGAGACAAGCCGAACAACGTAAGCCCCGTGTACATGCATACGTTTCTCCATTTGAAGATAGTGCACCGCGCATACGACTGTCCGTCCTGAAACATTCAGAGAGTCCCAAAAGTGGCGCCTCTGTTCGAATTGCTAATTTCTAAACATACGGTAAAGAACTTCAGCTAATTTTGCTGACAAACAGAAAAACAGAAACACGGATATTGGATAATTATACAGTACACAATAAACAAAAGCATACAAATTAACAAAGATTTTTAAAAATATCATAAACTCTTCCAATGTTTGTAAGAGAGGAACGCATATATACAGACTTGCTATGTCTGTTGATTGATTTTGAAATTATTAAGTTGAAAGAAAATCTTTTAAGAATACATGAAATACAAATAAAATCATAGAGAAAATTATTATATAAGTAAAAGAACATGAACACCAACTCGACGGATTTGAGACTTGAACTGCGGATGGTAATAGCTAGTAAAAGGGTGATCTGGAAAGTCCATGCGGAAGCCAGTGCATTTTAGTTAATCTACCTTGTGCAACTTCTTTTAAATATGATTTTCATATAGGTCAAGAAGTGACCAAATCGATGGACATAAAACTGTGTGCAAAAACGTAGAAAAACGGGATAGATGAAAAGAAACTGAACAAAGCGATCATGGCTTTTCCGCTTGTACTGCTCTACCCTGTCATGAAAAAACCACTCAACTGCATTGAACACAGTTCTTAGATAATCAACAAAACGTGTTATTGTCTTCGCTTTCTTCAAGCGTAAATAATTGAATTATTATTTTCACACAAATTTAGAGGTTTTATAGGTACTGTATATTGTGTAGAACTTGTTTTCTAAATTACCCTATATAATATGGAATATGTCAGATTTAATGTTTTTTCATGGCATAACCGAGTCAATCACATATAAGAAAGACACACTCAACTGCATTTGTCATGAAAGAATCAACTCAACTACAGTATTTATTGAAAAAAACCACTTATTATTAGATAATATAACTTAAAAATTGTAGGTGATATTATATCAACTTTAAAGAAAAATTATACGGTTAGGCCTATTTTTAATATGCTGACAGAGGCATGGATTTGAGAATATAGAGGCACGCATACCCAATTTCTCGCAGTTTGTTATTGTCTAGAATGGTCAGGCTTCAACAATTCGAAAGATTTTAGATGAATAAATGTAAATGTGATTTTATGTTAAAAGGAAATTTAAAAAAAAGAAAAGTGAATTTAATCATGTTGATAGTGCTTATTAAATAGATCTTTATTTCTAATGCACAAAACAAAAATAATCTGGGGACAACCTAGTAGATAAATCCAAGCTATACCAACTTTCAACAAAACAATATCAATTCAGACTTATTAACTTATGCGTTCTTTTTACAAGTATATTTCAGATCTAGTAGGCTACTGGTTTTTTAATAAACACATAACAACTTTTTTTTTTATTACATTACCATAAAACATGCAATTTTAGTTTAAATTTCCGACATCTGATAATGTGTTACGGTATATATATAGTTAAACTAGTAGTGCATTTTTCTGTAACATTCTACGCTGACAATGAGATTTGCAATTGTATTTGTGGGTATATTGTTCCATTTAGAATGTTGTATATTATAAGATCTCCAAAATGTATCTGTTAATTATGTTTTTCATTTAATTTGCGGTTTAATGGTTCTCTTTTTTTGCTTTTTTCCATTGTGTGAGTTTTGTATATCAATTTATTTAAGCGTGTTATGGCGTTTTATGTTGAACAGTTTTTGTAAATTGACGCAATTCAGTGATTTTATACTGCTACGTATTATGAATAAACCAGAAATGAATGAATAATTTTTTTCAGCTCAGGTCTGCGTTAAAATGTAGGATATGGACATAAAACCTGAAACAACTATATATAGGCGTATACATATATATATATATACAGTATATATA